GACAAAAATGAAAAATTAAAAATTTCGTCCGAATTTCCTATGCATTACCATACAGTGACTTTTGTTCCCGTATTTTGTCTTCAAATAATCGAATATTATTTTTTAGAATTGATATTGAGTTTAAACTTAGTTATTTTATCCATTTAGAGCAATTTTTGATTTAACATATACTTTATAAAATTTCCCTTCTGTTTTCTGAAACCTGAGTAAACGTCATCCTTAAGAAGGGATAATTTATTTTGCTTTTACCTCAGCATACATTTGATTGATCGATTGATTTATTCAATCAATCAAATACCGTAGTATATGTATTGTGTAGGAGTAAAGAACATTCCTCTCCTTATATTTGAAAGTACAAAAAAATATTGAGACACAGATATCTGTAGGCTTTCGCCAACCCTCAGCAACCCCGGATTAATGCATATCACATCTCATTTCATAAGGGTTTATAATATATTAAGAGACCCAAGGCCACATCGCTCACCTGAGCAACTGGCTAGATAAAAGCAAAAAACCACTTCAGTATTGAAAGCTTTCAAGGTACTTGGACACAGATTTGAAGTTATCACTTTCTCTATAATATTACGACTTATATATTTTAATAGCATTTCACACAAAAATTAATTAAAAATCTTATTTCATATAAAAGATATTAAAATTTCAAATTTTTTGGCGGGTTTGATTGACACATCCTTGCACTTTCACAAATTAATTTTATTCTTAATCCTTAGGAAAAGTGGCAATCTCGTTGTGTATAAATGAAAAATATTAATACTATAATCCAGAAAATTCAGAGTAGACATGTTAAAAAGCAAAACAAACACACAATATATTGTCAGTCTGTGCAGTTGTGGTAAGCAGACTGTGACGATTGAACGCACAGGGTAAATTCTAAATATAAACAATAACAGAACTCGAGCCCTGTTTACAAAAACTGTGTACATAACACGAGTGTGCTCGATTTGCTAAACTCTGTACGCAACCCTTAGTTAGGAATGACGATACTTGTGAGGGAGTTTTGCTTTCTAACATTTGTACTCGGAATAAAACTATTTTTCTGGATAGAAGTTTTAATATTTCTCATTAATACACCACAAGATTGCCACTTTTCCTAAGATTAAGAATAAGGTTAAAATTTGTGAAAGTGCAAGGATGTGTCAATCAAACCCGCCCAAAAATTTCAAGTTTTAATAACTTTCAAATGATATAAGATTTTTAATTAATTTTTGTGTGAAATGCTCTTAAAATATATAAGTCGTAATATTATAGAAAAAATATTGACTTCAAATCTGTGTCCAAGTACCTTTAAATATAAAAGTGGGTTCATGGGAGAGTGAGGTGTTTGAACAAATTTTTATGTTCTTATTCGTGCCACTCAAACGAACATAAATAATTCATAAAATAAACACAAACACGTATATTAGGATGTGAAGCGCTCTGATAGTGCAGTTTACTTATTTCACAAAAATCTACAAATACAATTCTTCTTTAACATTGTCTTCCTTTCTACAAAATAAAACAAGATTTTTAAACATAAAATCTTTTTAAAACATATAAAGCAAGGGTGGGGGGGGGGGGGGGGTGCGGATTCAGTTATCTGCAATGAAAAGAGCCTTCGAATGGCTTTAAAATATTCTGTGCTAACGGCGGTCAGTTAAAACCCGTGCATGAATATTTAAATGTCACCTGACAAGGTGACCAGCATTACAGCCAATAGATTACAGATATAAATGAACACGAACACGTGTTATTAGCAACATTGATAAATACATTTATGTTCTTGTTCGTGCCACTCAAACGAACATAAATAATTTATAAAATAAACACAAACACGTATATTAGGATGTGAAGCGCTCTGATAGTGCAGTTTACTTATTTCGAAAGACAAAGAAGAGTCGAAAGAGAATGACTTGTAATTATGTGAATTTCATATACCTAAGTTTTTGGTTACAGATAATTTATCCTGAATGTTTTCTTTCACATAGCCATCTTTAGCTTTTTCTGACCTCCACCGCCCATGCTTTTTAAACAGCCTGTCATTTATACCAGCCGCTGCAGCGGAAGTTGCCCCGCCTGACCGTAGGCTATGAAAACCAAATTTACTCTTATCTAACCCTATTTTTTCAAAAGCATCTAAGACGATTTCTCGTGCTCTAGTATAAGACAAAGGGCGATTATCTCTTCTAAGTTTATATGCACTTGTATTTTTACAAAATGACAAAGATCTTAATAAATATTCTGATGAATCAACTTCAGCACCCAACAATCTTATATATTCTTGTAACATATGTACAGGACAAGTGTCACCATGAGTTCTAGCAATACACACCTCCTGCCCTTCTTTGTAAACATCCGTTTTACTTTTCACAATATTAATTTTCATACACACATCATCAAATGATATATCATTAAGTCTAATATTTGCGAGCTCCGAGAATCTGAGGAACCCTGCAAAACCTAACAAACACAAACATAAAGTATGCATATTATATAAATTGTTTGATTTGTATCTCTGAACCAATAACTTCAAATGATCTGGTGTAATTGGTTCCTTTTTCAGAAATGGCTTGGAAGTCTCTCTTATTGCACCCTCCTTTGTTAATTTCACTAAAACGGATTCACATGGATCTTTCAGCGCTGCTAGCTGATGTGCCCAACTAATAGAGTGTGTAGCTAATTGAATTTTACTTGATGATTTGTAATCCTTAGCGATAGAAATTATATATAGAGCCACGTGTTCATCCGCTGCGGGTAAATAGCAGGCAGAAAAGCGCCACACCATCTGCAGAAAGCATTGAATGCGTACCTATATTGACTTGATGTGTTCGATGCTCTGGATTTTAGGCAGTAGGATGGTAAAAAATCCCTAAGTTGTTGTAATCGCTGATCCTCAATCCTTGTACTATCAGACCACCGTCCCATTTTAAATATATCTGAAAATTGTATAAAAAGGAATACAAAGATTAAATTGACGTTATTAATACAAATTTGTCTTATGGTGTATCAGGACCCTCAATCAACTGAAATACACCGACTTAAAAGATGTTTCAGGACCATAAATCATCTGCAATACATCTGACCAATATAAACATCTGGTGTACCAGGGCCCCATCTCATCTGCAATACACCTCAAAACGTATCTATATTTACATTCTGAACTCAACATGTTCAACATGAATATATAAACAGACTTTATATAGCGTTCTATATTAGGATCTTGCATCCAACTTCACTACCATTATCCCAGAAGTAATTTTTTTTTATCCAAACAAACATGCTTTGTTATCACCCTGAATAAGTATGTCTGTACAATCATGAATAGGGGGCACTAACCAATTGTTTTCGTGTTCCCAGTTTTCGGTAAAACAGTCAATAGCTTCTGAGCCAGGATTCCAAAATTTTGAATTATACCGTCCGAACTTACAATTGTTATAATTTGCAAATCTCTCAACAGTAAAAGTTCCGAACAAGTTGTTAACAAATTCAAAAAATGTAGCAGTAACGCCCCAGTCATCGTGATCTATGATATTGCTAAGAAAATCAGCTTTATCATTTTGTAATCTTGGAATCCATTGTATGTCAATTGAAATTTTTTGTTCTATACACATCTTGAAAATATTGTAAGCAAGAGATTGTAAATGATGTTTCATACTAAAAGACTGAACAATTTTTACACAACTCTGATTATCAGTGAACCATTTCACTTCTTTATTCACTAAACTATCTTTAAATGAAGCCAAAGCTAGTTCGATCGCTCGAAGCTCTCTCCAAGTAGAGCTCATACCCTTCTCAAACTCTTTCCACATTAAGTGAAAAATTTTTGAATCAACTTCGATAGTGTACGCTCCTCTAGCTAGACTACTCGCATCAGAGTAAATGATGACACTTTTCTTTGTCGGTGTGTGTAAATACCTTGTTTTTTCTGAGTAAATACATTGTAACCAAAAATTACATTCATTTAGAACCTCGTTTTTGTGTGTTAATACAATAACATCGTCCCATGACTTTCTACATGCTATCTCTATAGAACAAAATCTTGTCATTATACTACATATGTTACCCATCACTGGCATTGACATAATCTTTCCAACCACTCTTGCCAACTCTCTGGCCGTCACTTTAGGAAAACTCTTCACTAGTTTCCTCAAAGAAGCCACTGTATCGTCCAAACGTCTTGTAGGCACTGAAATAGAAAATGACTGTGAATCCCATGAAATTCCTAACCATTCTAAGTTCTAAGTTGGGTAAAATACAGATTTTTCAAAATTTATAAGTAGCCCAAAGTCAGACAAACTCTTTTGAATGAATTCAGAAACTGAAAAATATTCCTGTTTAGATGGGGCAAACACAAAACCGTCATCTAGGTAGAGAACTATCTGAATACCCTTCTTTCTCCAGAATTTAACAATAGGTCTAAGACTTTTTGTAAAAATAAATGGAGCAGATGACAAGCCGAATGGGAGCACAGTATAACAATAATATTTTTCGTTCCATGAGAACCCGAGATATGTCTGGAAACTTTCAGAAATATCAATATTATGATAGCCAGATTTTAGATCGAATTTTAGACAATAGAATCTTTCTCAAAATAATCCAGGGCTGTTTTCCAATCTTCAAACTTTATTTTCTCATATTTCACATAATAATTCAGTCTACTCAAATCTAGTATCAACCTCTTTTTTGACCTGTTTTCCGCGACGCTAAGAGGGCTTACAATATATGGTCTGTGTGTAACTTCTACAACACAACCTGTCTTGACTAACTGGGATATTCCTGATGTGACAAATTCAGCGTTAATTTCTGCAGATTTGTTATTTCTAAAATTCATAGATGGCGGAAAGGAGAGGAAAGGAATTTCATAATCAGAATGTATTACTTTCAAAATGTAAGGAAAACCCCCGATTTCTTCCCATTTATAGTAATGCCTCTTTAGACTATGTTTAATACTATGTTTCGTATGACTCTTTTCATGAACACAAGTCAAACAACCTGTATACTTATCATTGACTTTGAGTGGTCTTTCCCTTTGGGCAGTTGGATTTCCAGTGCCCTGTTCCGAAACAACCGAAGCAAACGTCGTAGGGCATAGGCTGTCTCCTTGACTGCTTGTTTCTGCCTTGGCCGTAGAGAAATGGCTGTTGTTGCTGCTGTTGAAAGGCAGGAAAGGGCTGAAAAGTATTAGTAACCCCAGGAAGAGACAGCTGAGCTGGAGATCCCGCAGCTGCCGCTGGTGGAGTTTTCTGTGTCCCGTAAGGCTGAAATCTCTTGTTCTGCTTCTGATGTCTGAGGGCCCTGTTTTCGGCACTGCGTATCTTCTTTTCATCATTGGAGTTGTCTGCAATTTCATTACACTGGTATTCGTTGACAGTTTTCCAGCCCGCGGGAGATGAGTCAGCTATGTGTATGTGCTTTTGACGCGTTTTTTACTTAAGTCAGAAATGATTTTCAATGATTCAGAATCTTTTAAATCAAAGGCTTTCGACTCTAGCTTCTCTAAACCCTCTAATAATTCGGCATTAAATTCAAACTGAATTCGGTTGCCTTCAGACTTTATCTTGTGTAGAGAATTCTCCTTGAGTTTCTTCGAGATAGACTCGGACTGTTCCGCTTTTAACTGTCCCGAGAAAGTTTTGAATTGAGACTGTATTACTCCCGTGAAGAGTTTAACAATGTCCGAGATTTCCAATGAAGAGGTCCCTCCAGTGCTGTCTTTCGGTAATTTATCTGTGTCCAAAGTCAGTTCATAGCCCGAATCGCCCATATTACGTGGAAATAGATAGTGAAAAAAGACGTGTTATCTGCACTGAAAAGAGCCTTCGAATGGCTTTAAAATATTCTGTGCTAACAGCGGTCAAGAAAAACCCGTGCAATGAATATTTAAATGTCACCTGACAAGGTGACCAGCATTACAGCCAATAGATTACAGATATAAATAAACACGAACACGTGTTATTAGCAACATTGATAAATACATAAATCTATACTTCCTATGGATGCTTTTTAATTAAAATACATAATAGCTTTGCTGTTAATCAGAGGAAAATTTTGATTGATATAACCTTTATATTCCTTTGTATAACTATGATCCACTTTATTGACTCCTTTATTCTCCTGGTTGGTTATGAATTGAACCAATTAAATCAACATTACCTTTTTGATGCTTTAATATCATGGCTTTGCTGTTCTTGTGAAGAATTTTAACAATTTTCCCTATATATTCCTACATAAAACCTTGATCACCTATTGTGGCCCCCTTCTACCCCATGGGTCATGATTTGAACAAACTTGAATCTACACTACCAAAGGATGCTTCCATATAAATATGAACGATCAGCTTTGCTGTTATCAAGAAGAATTTTAAAGATTTTTTTCTATGGAATACCTCTGAAAAATTTGATCACCCATTATGACCCCATCCTTGTCCCAGGGGTTATGATTTTAACAAATTTTAATCTACACTACAAGGGAATGCCTCAATATAACTATGACCAATCATGGCTTTGATTTTCCTATGTATTCCTTTGATCCCCCATTGATACCCCACCAAACCCCCTGGGATCTTGCTTTGAATAAACTTGAATATACAGTACCTGAGGATAATTTTATATAACTATGACCAATCATGGCTTTACTGTTTTTGAGAAGATTTTTAAAGATTTTTCCTATGTAGTCCTATGTTAAACTTTGATCCCCCATTGTGGTCCCACCATACCCCCGGGGTCATGATTTGAAAAACTTGAATCCACACTACCTGAAAGTGCTTCCACACAAGTTTGATTTTTTCTGGTCCAGTGGTTCATGAGAAAAAGACTTTTAAAGATTTTCCCTATGTATTCCTATATTAACTTTGATTGCACATCGTGACCCACCCAACCCCCTGGGGTCTTGATTTGAACAAATTTGAATCTACACTACCTGAAATATTTTCATATAACTATGACCATTCATGGCTCTGCTGTTCTTGAGAAGATGTTTAAACATATCCCTATGTATTCCTATGTTAAACTTTGATCCCCCATTGTGGCCCCACCCTATCCCCGGGGGTCATGATTTAAATGATTGAATCTCTACTACCTGTAGATGTTCCCACACGAGTTTCATTTTTCCTGATCCAGTTGTTCTTGAGAAGATTTTTAAAAGATTAATTTTTCACTAATTCATAACCATCTCCCCTTTGGAGACGGCGTGGCCCTTCATTTGAAATAACTTGAATCCCCTTTACCCAAGAATACTTTAAATTGTGGCAAGTTTGGATGAAATTGGCTCAGTGGTTCTTGAGAAGAAGAAGAAAATGTGAAAACTTGACAACGACGACGACAACTACGACAACGACGTCAGACAACGGACAAATTTTGATCAGAAAAGCTCACATAAGCCTTCCGCTCAGGTGAGCTAAAAAAGTAGGGGGGTCAACGAGTGTGGAGTCGTAGAATTACCGCTCTGAAAGAATTGTCTTTTACCTGTCGTAGAATATTAACCTGAGGTAGAAAAATGCCCCCCCCCTTTAGTTAACATTCTACGGGGCCACTTTTTGTCGGTACACCGAATTTGTTGCCATGATGGTCTCCGACACAATATAATGATTGTGTTAAAAATATAATATTTACATTTGCTGTGTTTTTCAAGTAAGCTAACTGTGAAATTGATTTGTATACCATTTTCATTTTTAAGCGATGCCTACGTGACAAGTCTGTGTGATTTACGCACCACAAACTCTAACTTTAAAAACATTCCTTAAATGTACTCAATTACTAAACCTTCATTTCCATATTTTCATTCCCATCCTTTTTCAGGTATTGTAAAGTGATGAATTGTTTTAAAATATCGGGTTCGAAGCTAAAAATTATTCTATAAATTAAGTTTCATAGCTTGATTCTTTATATATATAAAAGCAAAAAAAATTATGAAGTACATGTACATGTAGATATTTCATTTGGATCTTAAACTTCCTTAATATTCTTAGTTAGCTTTAAGCAATAATTTTACGTGTCATTATAATATGTTATGATCTATTGTTTGCGTATGCGTTTTTGAAAAATACAATTTATAATTTTCAATTAGGTTATAAGAAAAACGACAATGGCAAAGTTCCACGCTAGACCTGGTAGTAGAAGGAGTGCCGATATTGCACAACAACGTCCTACATTGAGGCGTCTATACACCTCATCCAGTTGCTCTAATCTCTACTGTGCACCAGAAAGGGAATTTGGAAAACGAATGGATGAATTAATGCAAAAGATTCGTAACGACGTATTATTTCATGGTCCAAATCACCTCTTACGTATGGAAATCTGCATAGATAAAGTCTATGAATTCTATTTAGAGATTTTAGAGAACATAAATAGGTTAGAAAACAGATATAGCTCATCATCAAGTTCTTCATATGAAGAATTTATACAACCTGCATATGATGATGAAATAAAGGGTCATATATCTAGCAGAAACACTAATCGAAATGAAAGTCGGCTTTCACAAGTTGGTCGGCGAGTCGAAAGTAGGATTTCACGACATCTTACCAATGATCATATATATGAAACATTGATGCCTGGTGTTCCCGAAAGAACTCATAATTCTGGCAGTTGGCAGTATAACCAGGAACAAAGTGAATTAAATGATAGTCCGGAATTGCTAAAATTTGCAAATATTCTAGGTATTAAAGATTTATGCGCAACAGAAGATTCAATTTATATCTCTGATGGTTCAAATTGCGTTACTTGTTATTCACTACAGTATGGGCGGCCGGAGCAGATGATCCTTACTAAGAATGCTGATTTCATAAGCATGTCATCGGAAGCTTTATATGTGACTAACGGTCGACTGAAAGAGGTAATAAAGTTTAAAAATGACGTAATAACTGTTATATATCGCTCACACGAATGGACGCCAAATGGCTTGGCAATGTGGGGTGATAACAAAATTTATATTTGTATGTTCAATCAGAAAGCAATGATGGGAAGGGTCGTCTTGTTTAAAAACTACAAAGGCAACAAGTTGGTTGTTGAAAAAGAAATTGAGTATAAACACAACAACACTCGAATGTTTCGGTATCCGAAATTCATAGCTATAAACAGCAAAGGTGAACCTTGTGTTTCGGATATATATGAGAAATGTGTGATAGTTGTCAATAAGTATCGTGGAATTCGCTTTAAATATGATGGAGCATGTCCTGATAAAAGACAACAATTTGAACCAGAGGGTCTTTCTTGCGATGGTATTGACAATATATACGTAACAGACAATAACAATGACTGTGTAGATATTGTCAATCCGGGTGGTTACAGGTTGAAATCAATATATGACATACCTTCTCCGGTCTGTGTTACTTTCAGTGATAACATTTTGTATGTCACAATGAAAGACAAACAATTTAAAAGATTTGTCCGTGTTATCCGGATATAACCTGATCATCAGGATATAATCATTTTGTACGTAAAATACAACTGCTTGATATGACAAAAGACATCGAAAATCGTATGAAATTTTTATGCTACCGATGTTTTAGAAGACAAGTAAATGTTAACAGATTCAATATTATTACGCTACTTTCCTTTTCAAGTTTAAGCCTTTTTGTTGTTGCTCTAGCTCAATTTCATTTTTCTGTATAAATATCATACAATGCATTTAAAGGCAGAGATTTTAAGCACCGCCTTCAAAAATACCTGGTCTGGGTAGCCCTGTCAATCAAGTGCACATGAAGGTCCATCATTGGATGCAGGAAGTTGATTGACATTTACTTTCTGCCCCTGTGTATACCCTATACCCTGTACACCTTGTTTGGGACTCATGGGGACCTTCAAATTTGCTCATGATCCTTTGATGTTTACCGAACAAGGTATAGAGAAACTATTACTAAGAATTTTTTTATCTTGATAATACTTATATAAGAATTAAATAATAATACCTTTAGTATTTGAAAGGATTATAATATAATATTAATTTTTTTTAATTAACCTTTGGTTAAGACTTTATTTTCAAATGAAACTTTGATATTAATTTTGATTTGCTAAATGGTAAATCTGAAGTGGAAATGTTATTGAAAAAGTTCAGAGCAGCACTCTGTAAAGTAATTAAATTCAAAATAATGTTTCTTATCATGGGTCACTTATATTTTCCTTTTTTATTCAGATAAGAATTTACAAGCAATTTCTTTTGCATGTTTCGTGATGACAAAGCTTTATTAAGTTTAGGATAAACCTAGATATTTTTTAGTGAAATGTAGTTCAAACAGCTCTCTTTCCATTTAATTAATAGATGGGATCCTGATAATGAATGAATTAATTCACTCTATTTTTTTGTTACAGGAGTTGTTGCTTTTTTTAATTAACACATACACTAACATTTAAAACAATCTTTGTTTTAATATTTGTATTTATAGCATGATATCTTGATTCTTTTTAAATGGGTAGGGTTTTTTCAAACAGTCAAAATTAAATCAATAAATAATTTAAAAACCCTTTATTACTAATTTTCAAAATCCCCAACACAGGTAAAGTTTGGCATCTGGGTATTTCACTGTGTATTAAATCACTTCCTGTGTATAGGGATTAGTAGACAGCTGACCACAGGTAGACTTCTAGCCCCCAAGTCATTCACACCTGTACAGAATAAGCCCCTCCCTCACCTGGAATTTACCACCCGGTAAAAAGTCTCTGCCTTTAAGAAATAAACAACAATGTTAAAAAGTTCTCTGGGAAAAGAACTTTTAGTTGTTCACGTGATCAAATCCTGTGAAGTTCGAAGGTAGATTTGATCACGTACGAACTAAAAGTTCCTTTCCCAGTGAACTTTTTAACATTGTTGTTTAATACTTATATTTACATTTGAAACGAATACATTTCGAGTTAAATTGTTTTTATTTTGTTTATGTTGTTATTATTTTTATTACACGAACGGCCCAACGTATTGCTTTGTAGTGACGCGCAATGACCTAGAAGTATCACATCGCTAGATGTGATCCGGTCGCGCTATGACCTCTGACCCCCAAATGAAATTCATGCAAAATTGAACGTTATTTCTCTTCAATAGGTTCACCTAAGAAAGATATTTGCAAATGTAAATATTCAATATTAAGTTTTTTTACATAGTAAAGGCAGCGTTTATACTAAAATAATATACTTAGTAACATTTTCATATTTGACTTCGTTTCTCGTTTTCCATATAACCCACTTATAAATGCATATCAAAGTGTTAACAAATATTCTTGAGATAAGTGTTTCTATTGAGTAGCCTTAAATTATTGTTTCTGAGTCCAATTCCATATTTTCATTCATATAACACATTTACAAGTGTTGGTTTAACTATCCTACAATGAAAATGTCATAGTTTGTTATTTTGTGTAAAGATATTTTTGTAACTATTTAGGATTTGACTCTACAATTTAATTGATATTTATGAATTTGAAAATGAATAAATAATACTCATGTATGTTAGAACAAACATTTGACAGGTCTCCATATGTTAATTATCTGTAATTAATAGCACTCAGTTACAGATCAAGTAATTACCTGAGTGGTCATCATGAGTAAATCTATGTCTCATTTATATTTATTCAATTAACCCCATCATTATAAGTATACTGTTAGGAATTTATTCTACAGTCAGAACACTACGAACACTGCTTATGTCTATAACACTGGCTATTGAAGAGACTGTCCACCAGTCTGCCAGTAGACTAAGTAGTGGGGCGTCTAAATTTATTTCCTAGTTTTGAACATCCTCATGTTACTAGCTTGGGTCTTTGATAATTTATAATTGGCTCTCTCATAGACTTTTTTACCAGTTTACCAGTTTATTAATATATCTTTGGTTGTTATTTAACGACTTAGAGATCAATACATATTATTATAACATATATACATATATGCGTGAGCATAACATATAACATATATACAAAGTGTGCTTATAATAAAGTATTTCCATATAATAATTGTTTACATTGATGTTAACCTGGAGGTTTGACTCTCTCGTTTACTATTTTAATAAAAGAACAAAGTTTACTCAATAGTCCAACATTTTTGGAAGAAAACGATTCATTAAATTTGATAAATTTGGTCTTGTAAAATAATCTTTCATCTTTTAATTTTTCACAACATAAAATATAGTGGAATTCATCACCAAGATCATTTTTACATAAAAGACATATTCAATTAATTCTTTCAATACCTTCCCATCTTCCTGTTTCAATGGGTAATTTATGGTTTGCTGTTCTAAATCTAGCTAAAATTTGTTTCTTATAATTATTTAACCTGCTATCTACATAAAATTGACATCGAAAGTGTATATTTTTAAATAGATTATATGTCACACCTTTTGAAGAATCATTACAGATTGAGTTCCAGTTTTCTTGAAACTGATCTAGTAATTTTTGTTTCAAACTTTTAATAAGCCAAGTTCTATTAAATAATTGATTCTGATTCCAAATATTACTATAACCACAATTGTCTAAAATTGATTTCAAATTCATTAACCATTTAGATTCATGTCCATTATCAAATTTTGCACGAAGTAATTTATACATTAAAAAACAATATTTTGATTGTTTTCCATGTAAAATTTTTGACCAGTATGCAATAATTCTTGTTTTGAGATGTATAATTAAAGGTACTCTACCTAATTCACCATAGATCATAAAATTTGGAGTTCTTGGTTTTAAATGAAAAAGCATTTTACAAAATTTTAAATGTACTCTTTCTACCATTTCAACTTTACCATAACCCCACACTTCACAACCATACAATAAAATTGGAATTACAATCTTGTCGAACAAATACAATTGGTCATGTAGAGAAAGATGTAATTGGTTACCCTTTTTCAAAATACCATACATAGCTTTCGTTGCTCTTTCAGTAGCATATTGTTTTGTCTTAATAAATGAGCCTGTTGTTGAGAATATAATTCCTAGATATTTGAAATGTTTAACAATTTCAATTTCTTTGTTATTGTAATAAAAAACTTTATGTGGTATACGTCCCTTTGAAAAAATCAGTATTTTTGTTTTTTTCTATATTAACTTCTAGCTTCCATTTTTCACAATACAATAAAAAGCTGTGCAACTGATTCTATAAATCTTCAGGTGATTCCTATAGTAAAACTGTATCATCTGCATACAAAATAATCAGCATTTTTAGCAAAACACCAAGTTCTTTTTCAATCTCATTTGATATTGTTGAGACACCAATATTGTTATGTGCAATTAAAAAAGATTCTACACCATTCAGGAATAAAGCAAATAAAAAGGGCGATAAGTTTTCCCCTTGTAGTACCCCAATTTTGCATGGAAAGTATTCAGTAACCATATCATTAACAGCTATTCTGGATTTACTTGCCAGTGGACCAAGTTAAGTGCTGAGTCTAATAAATTCATTATTATTTGTTTTGGCTTTGTTTTATTCGATCATTGTTAATACAGTTATTGAACTAAACTGTAACTTAATAAATTGTAAAATCTGACTAGCTGCCTTCGAGTTATAGCTCTATGCATATTCGATCTTGATGTTGTTAAGCCTAAACATAGGCTGACCCTCTGTCTCTTGGTTAGGGAAATGTCTGAGCTAGTTCCCCTTATCTACTGGTGCCCTGTACCTCGAGATCGGTGACAAAACAATAAATGTTGATTTTCCATTTGGTTTTTACATAAATTGCATATACCATTGGACATTCCAATTTTAATTTACTTAACCCTCTTCCTGCCACAACCGTGTCTAATTTGCGCAGTTGATACGCCAAAAGTTTACTATTGCTTACACGTATCAGAATGCATTGAATATTCGTTTAATGATAAATATTAACATTTGCAAATGTTTTCCTTTATATAACACTACTGATGAATATTGTTCGTACATCGGTCGACTACGGGCCAATGTTTAGTCGAACATCGACCGATGATGGGTCGTTATCTTTTGAACACCATTAAACTCCCCGATGACCTCAGATTCAACGGATATTGGAAGATGCTTGGCCATACATCGGCCGATCCTTAAAGATGTGTTAATGATGGGTAGCCGATGAGGAGCGATGTGAGGCATCGTTTGAGACATCGCTGAATTTTAACTACGAATTATTTCCTACCGAGGACCCCACCGATTCGCAAAAAAAAGATTCAGTCACCGTCCGATCACTAGTGGTGCCCGGCTGTCAACCACGCCATTTTCATCAAAAACGCATCGGTTTCTCATCGTATACCCCATCGTTGGATAATGTGACTTATACTTTAATCTCGTGACCTATTCTATTAGTTGAAGACACGGCAATTTAAATACAAATACACATTTCAAAATCTTTAACCATAAGAATTTTTGGCACTGATACGTATTGATTATCTGATATGCAGAATGCGTGCAAACTGAACTTATCTTAAAGCATTGCCTGTCTTTTTTCTTCTCACAGAGACGGTTTGGTGT